ATGCGAACCCCCTAACCAATCCCATACGGGTCTACTTGTATGATTTCTATATCTAGCTGGTCTTTATGTCTCAGCAGACCAGTTCGCCGCCTGGATTTTTCTAACGCTCTAAGTGTGTACCTGAACGCACCAAACGCGCGTGTTTGGAATTTCTAAAAGCCGGCTCCCATTCGCATTCACTTTGCAAAAGTATGCCCCCACTGTTATTCAATAACAGCTTATTATATTCACCCAAGTCATTAATGTACTAGCCTTTAGTCTTTAGCATCTAAGGCCTTGCCTCATGGCCGACTGCCAGCACCACTCTAAATCTTCCTAAACCTACCTATCACAGAATTCATGAAAAAGGTGGTTTTACCTTGTTTGTACCCGTGGTACTTGCAGTCAAACCTCTCAGCAACGCCTTCCCCCAACGAGAGCCCCACGTTGGGCGCCAACTGTTAAGGTTTCGGAAGCTCTCGAGGGAGGACTCAATCCCTTGTTCTCGTCCCGGCCGGAAACGAGGACACGAATGAGTCAATCCGTTTAAATTCAAAAATCAAAAGTTATTTAATAACTGAACAACGTAATAGGGATTACAATTACAAAGTGAAATACTAAGCGAACAGTGGAATATTTCGCGAAATAGAGAATCCTCTGAGCAAGTCTGAAGTGACTTATCAACGCGGCTGCAGGAGAAGTTCTAACAGTCTTTTCCCCGCCATGGTCCTTTGAAAACTCTTGAGGTGTGTCTTCTTTGGTGCATTTGAATGTCATTGGCCTCTTCTCCAAAGGGTCACCTCCTCCATTGTCCCCTTCACGTCGAGGTGTGAAGCTGCAGCTGTAACCTGAAACCTCTCTGTCCTAGCTGTCCCTCAAATTCCAATGCACTCAATGCAGATACATTCGGCTTTATGCCCCAATGAGTGAATTTAACAAAGCATACATCGTTTAAGTCTTCATCTTATAACTAGTACACTTTCATTACAACAACCCATCATTAATGATCACCGTTCATCACATTTCATCATAAGATCTAAAACAGTTCATGTGGTTCAATTCTCAAGACATTTGCCTCAGTCGGCTGCCTCGCATTAAGTTGTTCATTTATTACCTGACAGGAGAAAAAACTCCCAAAAAACCCTCTTTGGGGATAAAATTGGGAGAAATCCATAAAGAACGGCAATTGGCATCCGTCCCCAGGTTTTAACATCACATTGTGACAGAATGTTAATGTGTACAGTGTTTATATGATTTAAATGACTATGAATTGTGTTTGATTGAAATTGCATTCACTTCATCTAACATGTTAATGTAATAACTAATATCTAATAACACACAAACTATAATTCTATCACTAAACATCATTACACATACTACAAATTCTATGACTAGGGGTGCACTTCTGGCTTAAATCCCTAACAATACAACCGTCTGAGCGGCATCGATCCTCGCTGTAATCACAGAGTTGGTTTTGAACGCGGAGGCATTGATTGATGACCTCTGTTATCAGATGAGTGTTCCAGGGGGCTCATTTGTCATTTCTTCTTCCAATGCAGCCTTCCTGCAGGGTCACGCAGAGACACCCTTGTACCGCTTCTCCCTGTCCGACGGCACTCCGGTCACGGCGCAGACCAAGAGCAAACTGTACCGCCACCCCATGAGCAACGAGCCGCAGGGCTTCATCTCCACTCATCTACTCCAGAGGTGAGGAACTGAAAGCACACGCACTCGACTGCAACGCGGCAAAGGACGCTTCACAAACTGCTTTGTAAAAGAAAAAAGCACTTCCAGCCGATCTGTGCGAGGCCTTCATGCCCCGCAAATAGCTGAAGTAGCGGCTGAAGTAGCTTTTATGCATAGGGATCAAAGTCGGTGAGAAGACACCACACAGGAACTCATATTGCAGTTGCACTTGTACAAGCGACTACAGGCGGAGAGCGGTTATTGTCTGTGGGGGGGGGAAGGGGGTGTTTTCAAGGTTTTAGCTTTTTTTCTTTTTTCTTTTTCAAACCATGTCTCCCGTCTCCTTCCTCGCAGGGAACCAAACGGCTATCGCTCAGCTCAGGGTGGGAGCATGATGCCTAACACAATGAGACAACAGGGCATGGGGGGCCCCAACCCGAATGCCCAAATGAACATGAACACCGGTGGTGGAATGGGCAACGTGGGCAGGGGCTTTGGCATGAGCGAGCAGGGCCACTTGGGTCACATGGGTCCGATGGGAGGCGGCTCCATGTACGGTGGGAGCGGGGGAGGGGGAACTGGTGGCGGAGGCATGGGCAGCCGCATGATGCAGATGAATCAGATGGGGCACATGAATCAGATGGGTGCCATGAATCACCCGGGCCAAGGCATGCAGCAGCACCCGCAGCAGCACCCGCAGCAGCACCCGCTGCAGCACCCGCTGCAGCACCTGCAACAGCACCCACAGCAGCACCCACCGCAGCACCCACCGCAGCACCCGCAACAACACCCGCAACAACACCCGCTGCAGCACCCGTTTCAGAGCAGCGGAGGGTTTGGATTGAGTGGCATGAACAGCCCTTCTGGAAGCCCCAGAATGGGCGGCCCCCAGCAGGGGCTCCTGATGTCACCCCGCAACCGAGGGAGCCCAAAGATGGCCGCCAACCAGTTCTCACCTGGAGGTGAGTCGAGCGGTGTCTGGTGATTCAGCATCACTCATTTTTTGATTTGATTTTTTTTTTACTTGTTTGTTTGATTTTGTGGTGTTATTTTCTCTCCAGGCATGCACTCTCCCATGAGTGGCATTGTCAGTGGTGGAGGAAGTGGAGGGGGCACCACCTTCTCCAGCAGCTCCCTAAACGCCCTGCAGGCGATCAGTGAAGGAGTAGGAAGCTCCCTCCCCTCGACGCTGACGTCGCCCTCTCCGGCCCACAAACCAGATAGCTCTCCCAGCGTCCACTCCTCCTCCGCGCTGTCCAGTCAGCCGGCCAAACCAGGCCAAGATGGCTCCAAAAGCCCAGCCGGAGGCTTAGGGCCTGGGCCCGGTGACCACCACCACCACCCGCCCATGCACCATCACCACCATCATCAGCATCCGCAGGCTGAGAGTTCCGGAGACCGTCCGGACAGCCAGGCCACTACGGCAACAAAAGAGTCTGGGGAGGGAGGCAACGAGGCCGGGGTGGCGAGCTCTGAACCCTCTCGGAGGTTGCCGGACAGTAAGGGACATAAGAAGTTGCTGCAGTTGTTGACTTCCCCGACCGAGGAGCTGGGAATGGGCGGCAGCGGGTCGTCAGGGCCCCCCGTGCCGCCCTCAACGACCAGCATCAGCACTCCTGCAGGCTCGGACACTAAGGACCCCAGCGGAGGCATGACAAGCCCCTCGTCTGCTGGCGTGTCCTCGTCTTCCTCAGCCAGCGCCAACCAGGGCCAGGCCGCTGGTCCGGGGGGCGTGTTGACGGCAATGTCGTCTGCCCACTACACGGGCTCGCTGCAGGAAAAGCACAAGATCCTCCACAAGCTTCTGCAAAATGGAAACACGCCAGATGAAGTGGCTAAGATCACGGCCGAGGCCACGGGGAAGGTGACGCTCGGGGGCCAGGAGGGGGGAGAGGCCGGGTCGGGGGGATCGGGCGGTGGGCCGGGGTTGGTCGCCGAGCCCAAGCAGGAGCAGCAGAGTCCCAAAAAGGAGAAGACCCACGCTCTCCTTCACTACCTTCTCAACAAAGACGATTCCAAAGAGCCAGTGGATGTCAAGCCCAAACTCGAGGAGCTGGAGGGGAAGGCGGTCACCGGCTCTGTTCGGGGGGGCCCCGGATCCGCGCCCGAACATCCCGAGAGCAAGATCAAGTCAGAGCCCCCCGATGACGTAAGTGTGCTCCTTTGCAAAGACGTGATTGTGTAACCGTAACTATGATATTGTTATTGACATTTAGCGGGCCACAAAGACGGCATTTCACTTTGCTATTCAACGTACTGTCTATTAAACAGAACAAATGTGAATCTTCACAGACTTTTAAGACCGTAATAACTCATTTGGATTATATTGATATTCAGCTGCACAACCTGGAGTCCATCCTCGGAGATTTGAGAGGTTCAACCTCTGACTTTTACCCGGATCAGGCTGGAGGTGGAGGCGCTAATGACACGGGAGGCAAAGCCCAGGGTTGCCTTGACGACAGCCTGCGGGGTGAGTGCAAAGCCTATGAGAAGCGATGGGTGTCGTGACATCCTATGTGATGACATCCATGTGGAATGTCAGCTAAACTGCATCTGACGTCATTGTACGCTGGCTTTCTGAGATGGTTTTCACCCCAACAACCATAGATCTCTCACACAACGTAATGAAGTTTTAAAAATCCCAACGTCGATATTGTTAAAATTAAAGCGGGAACTCAAATGTTCTGTTTTCCCGGATATTTCGGAGGAATGTGCGTGTGACTCGATTATACTTTCTGTGAGCAGGGAGTCCAGGAATGGGTCCGGGGCCTCGGGGGCCCTTCCAGAGGGCCTTGTCCATGGACGGGAAGCCTCCCGTTGGGCCTGCAGGACCAGGTAGGCGCCCGATGCTTATCAAGCAGGAGAACATGATGGGCAGCCCAGACGGATACCCGGGAAACATGGGTGAGCACGTTGTCTCCCACTTTAATCAGTGTGTGTGTTCCCCAGTCCTGTATTTGTTTCCTGTTCTCGTATAATAATAATTTACATTCCAAAGACCCGTTTGCGATAGTGACACACGTCTGGTCCTATTCTACCAGGACCAATGAACAGGGGAATGGTTCCACAGAGGTCTCCCATGGGGGGGTCAGGAGACTGGGGCATGAGCCGCTCCAGTGGCAGCCCAGTGGGACACCCCTCCATGATGCGCCAAGGCATGGAGTACGGCAACAGCAAGGGCATGATGTCGGGACCCATGGTCGGCCGCTCCAACAGCGTACCAGGCTCCAGGTCCATGCTGCAGCAGCAGCTCATGGATATGGGTACGTCTAGTAGGACTTGGCCGGTCAAAAGAAATCTGTGCGTCCCTGTCTATTACATTTTATAAACTGGAGCTTCTGACTGACACTTGTGGAATTGTGTGTGTGTGTGTATGTTTGTTTGTGGTTTAGGAGGCTCTGCCGACATGGGCATGGGTATGAGCCCCTTCAGCCAGCAGGGCCAGCCCAACCAGTCCCCCTCCTGGCCGGACACTATGATGGGCATGGAGGGTAACAGGTCGGTGCAGCATCCCTCGTTGTCTGTATTCGCTCTGAATGAGCTGCATCGAGGAGGGAGTAGAACCTCATGAACGGCTCTCTGTGACTGTGCCTCGCAGACGCCAGTTTGGCAACACCTTGGATGATCTCTTGGTGCCTCCCACCACCAGCGAGGGTCAGAGCGACGAGCGGGCGCTTCTGGACCAGCTGGACTCGCTACTGAATAACACGGACGGCATCGCTCTGGAGGAGATAGACCGAGCCCTGGGCATCCCAGACCTCGTCAGCCAGGTAGGTCATCAGAAAAGACTTTGAAAGAATGTTTTAACGACACACTCCCCTCCTGTGCTCCCCTGGATCCCCCCCCCCCTGCAAGGGAAGTAAAAGGTGAAATGATCCGTCTCAGGACTCAATAATAAGTTATCCTTGCGTTTGACTTCGCATTAGATAGTTCAGTCATGACTCGCCGTGCTCAGACTGTTCTCCCACTAAAGAGAGATGGATGACCCCGGAGGGATCTGTCTGTGCCGCTTAGAAAAAGACAATTACAGAGCCGACCAATTGGAAATGAATCAATGAGATGGAGAGGTTTGACAAAGTTCTCTTTTTCTCCTCTGCTCCAGAACCAGGGAAGCGAGCAGCAAATGGAGCCGTTTCCCGGACAGGACCAGTCCATGGTGCTGGACCAGAAGCCCCTGTACGGACAGGGCTATCCAGGACCCCCCTCCATGCCATTGCAGTCCGGCTATGGGGGGAACCCCATGCAGGGGCAGGCCCAGCCGGGGGGGTTTGGGCCAATGCTGTCTCAGATGGGGCAAGGTGGCAGCTTCCCAGGAATGGGTGGCATGGGCAGCATGGGTCACCCTCGTGCCAACATGATGAGACCCAGGATGATGACCGCCAACAAACCCATGAGGCTTCAGCTGCAACAGAGGCTGCAGGGACAGCAGGTATGTCCACCGGAGGTCAACTATCTATACATACACCGTATGCAAGTGGGACAAAGTAACATTTGCCCCTCCATCTTCTCTCTCTCAGTTCATGAATCAGACGCGCCAGGGCATGGGCATGAAGATGGAGAATCCAGGAGGCAACCCTGGCATGCGGCCCGGCATGCAGCCTGGCATGGGAGGACAGGTAGATGACGAAAACTCAAGTCTTACAGATAAATCACCCTAATACGGTTTTAATGTCATCACCGCAATCCAGTTTGAAAAGTATGTCCGGGCATATAAAGAATTTGACCCAAGCTGTCAGTCGCTCTCAATGAATGGAACTTTAATAGTGGTTGAAACGTATAAACCCTTTTTAAAGGGGCCCTATCAGAGTGTGCTACTGATCCGTTCAGCAGTGTAGCTGACTCTCCTCTTTTCCTCTTTGGTGTCCAATTTAACCTGGAAATTGTAGAACGGACTCCTGTGGCAAGTTAAACAGATCTAGGCAGTGCGGTACATCACCAGCTGGGTGTTTGTGATCATACTTTAAAACAAGGGGAGTTATAGGTCTCTGGAATCTGAACATGTTGGCTACTAAAGGCCGACTTTTAATTGTAATTTTCATGAATTTTCATCGCCCTCAATGATGAGTATTTTATTTTTCATTAGTCCTGAGGCAGACGGGGGGATTAAGAGAGGGAGGATGACAACATGCTCAGCCTCCGTTATTAGGACCTCTTGACTGAATGAAGAATAATCTACACATCAGATGATGCCGATGTTATTTTTTCCCTTTCTTAAAGAAATATATTAAATGCAACATTCAAGTAACACGACTTTTGTACATTTGACTGTTTTTAGTAGAGTGAAATTCAAAATAAAAGCCCCTGAATATCGGGTTATGTCCACATAACAAAAGAGACCTTATCACCCACCCACATCGCATACTTTATATTTTATGACACATTTTATGTAAGCTGCAGATATATTTATACCGCACGCCATCCCTCCTTACACTCTGACGGTTTGTTTTTGGTGCAGCCGGGCTTCCTCAACGCTCAGATGATGGCTCAGCGCAGCAGGGAGATGGTCACCATGCAGATGAGGAGGCAGCGCATGATGATGCTGATGCAGCAGCAGCAGCAGGCGGCGGCGGCTGCCGCTGGAGGATTCAGTCCGCCTCCAAATGTCACAGCTCCCGGTGGCATGGAGAACCCCATGGGGGGTCCAAACATGGGCCAGCCGGGCCCCCAGCAGTTTGGCTACGGTGGGAACTATGGTGAGTTGCGAGACCGGGCGCCTAATGGAATACTGCTGCTCCCTGGTGGTGGGTGTGAGCATTGCAGGCTTGTGGTCTCACGTTTGTCATGTAAAAAAGAAAGATATGAAGATTTCTGTCAAAAAAATAAAATAATGATTGAATTCCTAAAGCTACACACCTTTTTTATATTCTACTCGAAGTATTGTTACCTATCATCTGTATCAAAACCCAACAGCAACAAGATTGACATCTACCTTTTTAGAACTATGAATAAATGATCTATTACCTGTGGAGCGAGCGAGCTCAGGCTGTGTGATTCATCTCCACAGGCTTGGCACAGCAGGGAGACCCCTCGTTCGGCCCATCAGGCGGCAGTCCTCCAGGCGCCATGATTCCTGGCCGACTGGGGCCCCAAAACCCCATGATGCAACAGCACCCGCAGGGCGGTCCCATGTACCAAGGGGCAGATATGAAGGGCTGGTCGCAGGGAGGCATGGCACGCAACAGGTATGAAATCCGACACGTTTTTCCGACGACGCCTTCGGGTGAAGGTTAACTTGAGTCGTTCTCTGCGGTTAAACGCGTCTTCCTTCCTGTCGCTCTCCTTCCCCAGTTCGTACCCTCAGCAGCAGTTTGGGCCGCAGGGGAATCCGGGCCAGTATGGGGGCATGATGATAAACGGGGGCATGCCGGCGAGCGGAGGAGGAGGTCACATGGGCCAGATGGGAGGGCAGATGGGTATGAACCCAATGGTGATGGGACGCATGCAGATGGGGCCCGATCAGGTAGGTTCATCTAAGAGTGTCAGCGCACAAAGAAAAGGTTCACATTTTTATCTTCAAACAACACTGACATGCCTGTAAGTTATTCAAAGAAAACTCTTGCTGCTGCTGAGAATTAACAGCTCCATTTTTTTCCAATTATCCAATTACTGGTGTTTGCATGATGGCAGTGGATTGAGCGTTAACCTCTTCCTCATCTTTATTTTCTACATTCTAGAAATACTGCTGAACATCAAGACAGAAGCATTCGTCTCACTGATCTCCATCACGGCAGTGTGCGTGTGTGTGTGTGTGTGTGCGTGTGTGTCTGTGTGTGTCTGCGCGCTGAGCGTTAGGCGTTCTGTCGTTTGAGTGTAGTGACGCACTCCCACCAGACGGGGGAGTCGCCTTCCTTTGGTCTCACTGCCAGTGATGGAGGTCTGGCGACCTGAGGGACAACAGACGGACTGTCGCACGCAAACATGAAATGAGAAACACTGTGACACATTTACACACACGGGAATCCCTCAGACAGGGAGGTGGACTGCAGTTTAACATAACTCTTCATGAGGTGTGTGTGTGTGTGTGTGTGTGTGAGACGCCTCAGTCACACACCGCTCTCCGGACCAAACGGTGAAGGTGGACGCACACTCGACTAGGAACATGGACGCGTGTGAAGACCTCCTCTCCTCCGTTGAATGTAGCGTGAAGCTGTGTCCCCATTCAGAACGTGTGATTCCTCTTCTGTTCCTGAACTGGGTGGGACGTCGTCTTCTTCTTCTTCTTCTTTGAGGATCTCTGCGTATGTAAAGTAAACGCGGCTCCGCGTGCCGAGCCGTCCGATTGTGACACTGGGATGAATGTCGTCGAGCAGTAGCACGTCGTTTCCTCCTCCAGTACGATGGAATCCCTCGTTGGCTGATTGCACTTTAAGGAAAGACCCAACATCGAAAGGATTGTGGCAATATCGAGGCCTTTACCCAAGAATTGATCCATAGCAGCAGTTTATTTTCTTTAATTTGTGTGCGCGTGTGTCTCCTTTCTCCAGCGTTTCCTCTCCGGGTAGTGGGAGCTGTTAATTGGAAATGGGTGATGATCTTTGTTCTATAGTGGGAACCAGTAGAAAGGCGAACAAGCACAGATTCCTTTCCAAGGCTCTCGTCTCCATCGGTACTGATTCATAACGAGTAGAGAAACAAAACGTTTTTAAGGTGATTTTAAAAACACTTCTATTAATTTTCAAAACTCCACTTATATTTATACAGATTCATCAACGTGATCATTTTATCATTCCAGAGGTAATTTTTAAGTCCCAATGTTGTAGATATTTTAGTCACCTCTCGCCAATTCACAGTGTTACTACAAGTGCAGAAATATAATTGATTGCCAATTCTGAAATTGTGTCTCTATATTTGCTCCCACTGTAAGAGAAAGTGGATGTTAGTTTTCTGGCAATAATCATTCCTCCTGAGGACGAAGCTGAAGTATCATTTACTCAAAGCGACGGCACTGCAGTATTAGACATTGTGTCATGGTTTTTTTTGTGAATATGAATTGTAAATACGCTTCAAATGTACTATATATAAATATATATATGCTTTTGTAGGTCACATACTGTTTTTGCACAGATTGTATGGCTTGATATTTAAAAGTGTAATTTTCTTAATCCGTCATAGGTCAGCTTTTATTTTCAATACTTTAACCATCGGTTGGAACTGAAGGGCCTCCTTTTTGTAAGCGGTACTTGTAGATTTTATTTCATAATGTAGCTTTCTTCTCTCAGAAAGCATCCTTTTATTTTCTCGAGAGCATAGTCGGAGCTAAAGAGGTGCTAGTGTGTAAGTATTTCTTTTTCTAGATAAATTATTTTTCTTTTGGTAAAAACCGAGAAACCACACGATATGCCTGGACAAAAAGAGTTGACACATGATTGCGTTTGGCTTCTTGGGGCCCAGATGTCTTACCAGATGTGGGGCGGATGTTTTCTGATGCTTCCACGTGTGACTTTTTTTGTTTCACTCCTGAGATTTCTGTGCTTTTGACATTTTGAAGATGTGATTGTTCGGCCTGGAGAGACTTTGGAAATCGACCCCACTGTATAACTGTCCATAAGTCCTTTTTATGATGGAAACATTAAGTAGTTTGAATCCCTGATTACCTGTCAACCTCACGACCGGTGACTTTTCTTCTTTGTTTTAATGTATTTTTACATTCAAGTTTGCCTTTATTTTCGTTGTATTTCCTGTGAAGCTTTTGTTGAGAAATCTACCTTTTTGATCACATGCTCAATCCAAAGATTTTTGTTTGTCATCCTGCAGTGCTTAGAAAACATGTTCTGATGTAGATTGTGCAAGTGCTTATGTGTGCTTTTACTGTCGCACATAACCGATAATATACATTGAACTATATATGTTTAATTGCATATATTATGTCCCTGTCCGTCTGGCATAGAGTAGAGACGAGTCTGGTTCAAGTTTTTGTTTGTGATTGTTTCTTCCTCTCTGTAGAACTTATGGCCAGTTGAATTGTGGTGCTGCCAGGAGTCATTTCACAACAGAATGTGGAGATTTTCTAAGCTACAGAGGTTTCATGATTGAAGTCATTATGTCTCAGAAGAATAGCCTGGAGTTGTTGTTTTCTTTGTTTTTTAACCCCAGCCTCAATGAAGAATATGAAATCTCAAATATAAACAAAAAAAACATGTATGTTTTGCTTTGAAGGAAAGAAACTCCATTAGTGCATCTTAGAGATAAAGAAAAGAGAAAGCTGGGAAACAGTCATCATTACAGGATGTAAATTACTATTGCTATTTTTTTCCTACCTTGTTTCTTGATGTTAATATCGATGTAAATACAAATTTATATTTAAACATTACAACGTCTCTGGTCTCTATGCACGTGCACGCAGGTTGGACATGACTCGGCGATCCCGCGGCCTCGGCACTGTAACTGGACGTGTGTTTTACTGCACCAACACGGCCTTTCAAGTTCCAATGAGCCGCCCCCTCGTCACTTATGATGACTGGAGTCTGCCGCCGCCTGCTTGAGGTGGGAGGGGAGTGTGTGGATGGATGGGAGGCAAAGACATGCTGCATGGGTTCGCAACCTGGTCGGTTCGATCTTATAATATATTTTCTAAACTTTGTTTTGTTCGTGTCTGTGGTTTACGTCACGCGATGGTCGTAAGAAAATCCTTTCTTTATCAAAATGTGTCGCTGCAAGGCTGCAGCCTCGTGAAGAAGTAGCGTTGCACATGTCCTGAAGTGTTCCAAGACACGCCCACGGTAACCAGTTGTTTTAGATCCACGACACCAAAAGGTTTCCTTCATGCTGATCTACGTCAACGAAATGAATAAATTATACTAAGGGTCAACAAATTACTGTGTGTCTCCGTGGCGCACTGCTAAGAGCAGCCACCTGATCAACATTTTGATGTTTTGATCCACCGGGTTCGAATCCAGGTTGTGCCGATCTTTCCTTTAATATATTTTTTTATATAAATGTTTTCATACGTGGCCATGATGTGGTGCTCACTTATGCAATCGTAAACGCTGCAATGGATTTGTGATGCGTTTTGAAGATTTTCAGCAATATGTTTGTGAATGTGTGACGAATCAGGGAACTGAGGCGGACACATCTGCAGCTGTGGAGTGAACACAAACACGCACGCGTAGGGAAACCAGTAGGTGGAAAAACCAGTAGGGGTGTAACACCGGCATGAAGCTCAAGTACTCTATCCCACAGCTGCTAACTTTCAACAACCGCTCCATTCCAAAGTGCATTGCAGCCATCAAAGAACTTGGAATTCATCGTCGTCCACGTTACATCCACAGAGGTTCCCGTCAAAAGTTTGTTTACCATCAGCCTGGCCAGCCTGCTTCAAACATTCCATCCATCTGGACTACTGTCGCACGTCTGCCGCGTCATCAGAGCAGTGTCGCTCTCGGTGCTAGCAACACGGGAAACATCGCGAGATCTCTGCACACTCGATTGAGCAGCTTGGGAAACACCGCGAGATCTCGCTACACCAAGCAAGCCAGAAAACATGTAGTGGATTACAGTGTACTACGGCCTCTACAGAGATCCACCACAGCATCAACACTCAAAATATAACTTTTCAACACGCAATTCCTCACAAATAAAGCATCCTTCATGCAAGATCACATCATGGACAAGGGATTAGACTTCATGTGCCGGACAGAAACATGGCACCAGCCAGGGATTTACTCAGCACTTAATGAAGTCTGTCCCCCCCGGTTACAGCTATCTGGAGAGAGCCCGCAGCACTGGTCGTGGTGGCGGCCTAGCTGTCATCCACCGACAGATCTTGGAACTGTCTCCTCTCCCCCTGCCTACACTGTCCTCATTTGAATGCCTAGCATTCAAATGTAAACCCCCTTCCCCATGACAATGCTCCTCGTCTACCGGCCCCCCAAACCCAACTCAGCTTTCATCTCAGAGATACATGACCTTCTCACAACACTCTGCACCACCTCTGCCAACATTATTATACTTGGAGATATTAATATGCATGTAGACAACCCCTCCTGCCACTTTGCAGCTGAATTTACTGGACTGCCTCAACCTCCAACAACACGTCGATGTCCCCACACACTCCAGGGGGCACACACTGGACCTGGTCATTTCCAACTCCACCCCTATTAGCAACCTTCTGGCGAATGATCTGGCCAAGATCATCTCAATGGAGCTGCCACTCCTTTCCCCACACACCTGCCACTCCTTTGCCCACACACCAAAGACAAGCGTCAAATCTGCTATAGGGACCTGGAAAAGATCAACCCGGATACACACTTTTGCCATAGACCTCCAACATCTCTCTTCTGCTGATTTCTTCTCATGCACTGAGTCGGTTGCCTTCTACAACCAATCACTGAGCAGTCTCTTAGATCTCCACGCCCCTGTCAAAACTAGAACTGTCAGCTTCTTCCGCTCAGCCCCCTGGTACACCTACGTACTCCGGCAAATGAAATTAGCTGGGCGTGTCCTTGGGCGGCGCCTCAAGGCCTCAGGACTCTCTGTTCATAGACAGGCCTACCGAGAACATCAGAAGTCCTATTCAAGGTCCTTGAGAGATGCACGTTCACAGTTCTATTCCAACATTATCAATAACAGCCCTGGCAACTCCAAGCAACTTTTTTCTACCATAAATTACATCCTTAAACCGCAAACTCACTCTCATTCAGAAGCCATAGATGAGAGGTGCAACAACTTCATCACCTTTTTTCAGAAAAAAAGTAGACACCATCCGCTCCCTGCCATCCAGTTTCTCCACACTGCCTGTCCCGACTGCTGACCCACAGCCTGGGATTTCCCAACCTCTCAGCTGTTTTTTTGCCATCTCACAGCGAGAAGTTGAGGACATCATCAAAAAGATGAAACCATCCACCTGTGCCCTGGACCCCTTCCCCACAGCCCTGGTAAAATCCAACCTCCATGCCATAAGTCCCCTCATCACAAAGGTCATTAACCACTCCCTCGGTCTGGCCATGTTCCATCAACACTGAAGACCGCTGTCATCAGGCCATTTCTCAAAAAACCCACCCAAGACCCAGAAGTCTTTGCCAACTACAGGCCCATCTCCAACCTTCCATTCCTTTCCAAGGTGCTGGAAAAAGTAGTTGCCGCACAGCTTCAGGACCATCTAAAACAAAACAACCTGTTCGAGAAATTTCAATCTGGTTTCCGCCCTGGCCACAGCACAGAAACAGCCCTGGTCATGGTCACAAATGACCTACTGATGACTGCAGACGCTGGCTCCCTATCTCTTCTCATTCTCCTGGACTTGACTGCAGCGTGATACTGTGGACCACAACATCCTCCTCCACCGTCTACATTCCACTATCGGTCTTTCTGACCTCGTCCATCAGTGGTTCTCATCCTACCTCACCGGGAGAACTGAGCATGTCGCCTTGGGAGCGGCTAAATCCCTGACACACAATGTCACCTGTGGTGTCCCTCAAAGCTCAGTGCTCGGCCCCACCCTGTTCATTATCTACATGCTCCCCCTTGGCCATGTCATCAGCCGGCATGGAATTTCATTCCACTGTTATGCTGATGACACTCAACTCTACCTCAGGACAAACACAACCCCCTCTGCTGCCCTGCCATCATCCACTCTGACCACCTGCCTGGAGGAGATAAAGCCGTGGATGAAGCAAAACTTTCTGCAGCTAAACAGCTCTTAGTCGGCACCCCACACCAGGTTCGGTCATCTGACATTACCAGCATCACCTTCTCCGGCCAAAATATTCCACTTTCAACATCAGTCACCAACCTAGGTGTTAAATTGGACTCCCATCTGACCTTTGAGGCTCACATCAAACATCTCTGCAAGACCTCCTTCTTCCACCTCGCCATCGCCAAACTCCGTCCCACACTCACTCCTGCAGATGCGGAAAAGCTTGTCCACGCTTTTGTCTCCTCCAGGCTGGACTATTGCAATGCGCTCCTCATCGGGATCCCTGAGAAAAGCCTCCAGAAATTGCAGTATATACAGAACAGCGCTGCTAGGATCCTGTTGAGGGTGAGCAAACATGAGCACATCTCCCCCATCCTCAAATCACTCCACTGGCTTTCTGTCTCACTCAGGGGTGAGTACAAGGTCTCCCTCCTTACCCACCAGTGCATCCATGGTGAAGCCCCCCCCCACCTCAAGGAACTCCTCACCCCACAGACCTCAATGCGTACCCTCCGATCTGCCTCAGCACATCTTTTAAAACCTCCCAGGACAAAGCTCCGTACAATGGGAGATCGGGCTTTCTGCTCAGCTGCTCCCAGTCTGTGGAATGCTCTCCCTGACCACCTGAGGACACCACAGACTGTGGATGCTTTTAAACGTGGCCTAAAAACCCACCTTTTTAGGAGAGCTTTTTAGTGAACTCGTTTTGTTTTTGTTTTCAAACTCTCCGTGTTTTTTTATTGTTAGCACTTAACAGTTTTATCGTGTAGCACTTTGGGATTTTCTTCAATATAAAGTGCATTACAAATTAAATGTCTTATTATTTATTATTATTATTAAGTGCTACAATGGGGTGTAGAAGAGATCAAGTACGCCTTTATAGACATCTCTCCAGAGCCTTTCTATGCTGAGGGAGAAAGAAATCATGTAGTCTGCCTACAATGACAGTTTATTACAAGAATCTATTCTAAGATTAAAATGTACTTTTGCAAAGCTCTCCTTCAGACTCTACAAAAGAAATAGAAGGATATTCTAGGGTTGCACTGTTGGAATCTCAGCTGATCACAGTTTAAAACTCGATACAAGTAAATGACCAAACAGATAAAGACTACTGTGTTGTTTATGTGTGCGTCGTGCATTCAAATGTCCAACCATCATTTGGTATCCAGTGTTGGGATGTGGCTGCAGAATTTGAGTTCCAGTTTAATCCAAATTGTTGTCCTCTAATGGAGTTTATAGGTCGTGGACTCTGGTCATCAAAAACAACAAAAGTCAGAAGAGACAACAAGAGAACTGTGACCGGATTCACAGTACAAACAGCGCACGATCAACTCGAGTCGACTTCGTTCAAACGAGGTTAATTTCACCTATAATACGGTAGTGGGGGAAAAGGGGCTGAACCTCAGCATTTTACTCTCCAGATGCTCTCAACTCTGACCTTCCTCCAGGATGTGAAATAGAGCGTCAGTGTAACACGAGGAGACGTCTCGTCGTAGCGTGTGTGTGATACATTGTTGCAAACCGTGTTGTTTCCAGGTGGAGACACCTGCTGCTCAGATAGAAGGAGGCCAGCAGGCGGAGGCCTCGTCCCCCCTGAGTGGAGAGTCTCCACCTCCTCTTCCAGCCAAGCCGATCATACATCACAGAGTATCACACCTCTGTAGAAGCGGATGAGC